ATTTCACCAAATATCAGACGGCATCCGAAGCTGGAAATCGAAGCGAAAATTTTGAAACCCTTATGTATATTTACATCATTATATATTTCTTACCCCACCCCCACATGATCCTATATCCATCACCAATCGTATACACATCGAATTGTACTAATTTACTACAAAGTTACGCAAAGCAGCATCTACTATCTAAAATATGTACTGCGTGACTCTTAATACGTCCCTGCCGAATGTTACAGCGTTCGATGATCACGTGGTCTTGTTTATGTCCGGTCTATCTCTTATCTGAATATACTGTAGGTGCGTTCACTTCCCACGCCTACTGGCGGAGAAGTATTGTAATCGCGAAAGTTTTCAAAAATGAGATATGCTTTTTGGATGTTATAAATATAGTGACTGATTTAAATTGCGCGCCTTTTTTGGTACACGCATTTCAGTAGGTGGCGCCGTAGTAGTTGTTTAAAGCGCATGTGTCCAATTCATCATAGAGCGCTACACGATCCCACAACGCGTCCGTATTAAAACGTTTTACTTGAATAATGGGTCGAATGTTGCAACGATTCGGAAATTTGAACAAACAGGTGAAGTTGAAGACTTGCCAAGGTCGAGCAGTGTTCGAACTGTTCGTAGTCCGGAAAATATTGAGAGAAGTTCGTGAATGTGTAATGGAGCGCCCTGAGACGTTTACCAGACATCGTTCTCAACGGCTGGGTAAAAATCAGTTAACCCAAGAACTACAACCCAGTGACCATGAGTCGCCGACAATACAGTCATGCTACAGGGTGTTTGGTGCAAATTGAAATGGAGGAGGACTTTTTCTATCACCCCAGGTCCCTCAAACAGTTTTTAGCCCAACGGAACGATGAGTCTTCGATCTCTGCATATCAAAATAATAGAGCAAATCTATCATATTTACGTTTCCATGACAGATGTAGTGAAAATATGTTTGACTTGTTATATCTAACGGGTGCATAGTGCCACTGAGATCAGAGCAGCTAATAATAGATGGTATTTCACTGACACCAAATATGGAACAATTTACAACCATGTACAGGGTTTGTCCGGAAAGTAATAGGACTCAGTCGAGTTAAAAAAATTTATTGAGCCAATCGTTACAATTCTTTAAAAACTTTCAAAATAGGCTCCTTCTGCGTCGATGCAGCGCCGCCAGCGCGATTTCCGGACAAACCCTGTATATTGATATGTAATAGTCGGTCAATAATGGTAGTTTCTGATTTAAATCAAAACATGTTTGTGGCACCATCACACAGCTATGCAATGATCCAGTATTTTGCACTTACAGGCATCAATGTACCTTACTAGTGAAATAAAGACCCTGTATATCAATTAACAATGCTATTAAGATGTCATTATCATTCGATTTTGTTGAGACACCATGGTTTCTATTTTCTACATTCATTAATGATGGATGCAATTCGTGAACATTAATTTCTTTTTACGATAAAATTATCATACTATATCCAGTATGTGTGTTTGTGTGTTGGATTTCAGAATATCGTGACGTCACAGTAGATATTTGGAAAGTTATTTGAGGTAATCACTAATAGATAAAAATTCAATTAAACACCTTTTATACCGAACAATACGCATAGTAGGCGGTCGGTACATAGTTCCATATTGAGTCGTCATTTGTCATTTTATAACAATGAACCTGCTGTTGACACTGGACAGTGGCGTAACACCTCCATCTTTTGGGGATATAGTTCAAAATTTGTCATATTTTGCTTCTCATGCTTAAATGACAAAAGTGTTATTACGAATCTCTTCTTTTTCCCGCGCTTAGAGTGGAATACTTCTCAACTTTTCACTTCTCACGCCACACGCGAAATATTCTTTCGGATGAAAAACCATGCCACTAATTTCCGTTGGTATGTCTGTCCGCTAACTCTTTGTCGGTCTATAACTTGAAAATTACCGCAGAAAAACACTTTGTAGTAACATTCGGTACAGTGGTGGCAGAGCTAGGGGCAAAAAACGAAGAAAATTGTAATCGCGCAAACTTCTTTTTTTGAAGTTCCATGAGCTCAAGAAATGTTTTTTTCCTTTAACATTTTTCTGGTAAAATTAAAGTAACAAACTTATAACCCTTTAGAAGTTTGAGTACCGCCCTGTCTCAATAATAATATTATATGCTCGTGTTTGGCAACAACGGATATAATCCGCCTTATCGGTTTATCGCATCGAAAACAAAAAAGCGAAAGAATTTGAAACGCTTATCACGATGTTTTTACTACAATTTTATTCAGTTGTATTCAGTCAATGGGGGGGTGTCTTTACAAAATGCTGCCGCGGCATCACGGATTTATGCGGATCGGTTTCCCAATCGAGTGCAACCAACCCCTGGTGCCTTTGTTAATGTACTACGAAAGGCTCGTGAATCAGGTGACTTAACACCTCACAGGGGAGGGAATGCCGGTGCTCCAAGACCGCACGATCAAATACAGGTCCGCACTGAAATACTTGTCTGAAAATTAATGACTCAACTTCAAAGTATATATAGTATTACTTCAAAAAATCTTATTGGTTGATCATTCTGTGCTGCGAGTTAGGTGTTTGGCTAATTCTTTTTGCAGGAGGCGTCGCTAAACGATTCGTACGTTAAGTTTTTTTTTGCTGTGAGATAAGAAATAAAATTCTCTTGGTTTGTATGATTCGAAGTCTTAGAAGCCGCTTTGAATTTTAAGGGCTTTTGGGACAATAAGACGAAGTAACCTGAGTTAAGCTCTCTTGTGAAATTGAATTTCCTATTAAGTCTAATGTTATTTTTCTATAACTCTGAAAGGAATCAGAAACTGACTTATGCCACTTCGTGATATTGAAGAGCAACCTTTTTTAAGTAAATAAATCGACTCGACTCAATTTTCGTATTTTTTGAGATACGCCACTTCGTGTTATTGGCGACGACATGATAGGTTTCCCCGTAAATTTTTCTTCAAAACAGAAATGTTTCCGATACGCGTGTCCTTCTGCTATCTAGACCCAACGTCGTCAGACGGACGGATTAAGGTGCATTTATTATCGATGGCTACATGACGAGGCGTTTCCAGACTGCCGCGAGTGCTGCCTACAACTAGTTCAGTACTAGGTTGATTTGGACCATCGAATACGCAATAGCATAATGAAAACATTGTAAAGTGTCATCGGACATTGGATTTGGAATCTACGTACCCGACGTACCAGTCTGGGAATGCCTTCTAACATAATGTCAAAGATAACCCCGATAGCATTAAATATTTATTAAATATTTTAAAAAAATGTTTTTTAAATATTTGTAGCGACAGATTTTTTAATATTCAATAAATATATTTCTTATATATCCGTCAAATACTCGTTAAAGATATTTGTACAACTTCGAAGTTGAGTCATTTATTTTAACAGTGAGTAGATCTGATCAAAAGAAATGTTTTTTTCCTTTACCATTTTTCTGGTAAAATTAAAGTAACAAAGTTATAGCCCTTTGGAAGTTTGAGTACCGCCCTGTCTCAATAATAATATTATGTGCTCGTGTTTGGCGACAACGGATATAATCCGCCTTCTGGGTTCATCGCATCGGAAACAAAAAAGCGAAAGAATTTGGAACGATGTTTTTACAATTATTTTATTCAGTTGTATACAGTCAGTGTCAGTCGGTAACGCGTGAGTGAATAGTGGTGTTTGCTGCGTGGCTCAAACGAAATAAAAAATGGCACATGTTTATGCGGATCGGTTTCCCAATCGAGTGCAATCAACCCCTCGTGCCTTTGTTAATGTAGTACAACGGGCTCGTGAATCAGGTGACTTAAGACCTCACAGGGGACGGCATGCCGGTGCTCCAAGACCGCACGATCAAATACAGGTCCGCACTGAAATACTTGTCGGGAGGATACTTTATAAAACAAGGTAACATTTTTTTTTATTTTTACACACATATTTTGGTTTATCTTCCTTCTACAATCATTATCTGAAAATTAATGACTCAACTTCAAGTATAATTAATATCATTTTGCGATATTTTTTCCAAATATGACCGATGGTCCAAAAGTCAATAGATTTTTGTCTAAATGGCTTTATAGTTTACAACGTTAAGTGCTTTATATTCACCACAATTTTACTAATTTTTATAATCTAATCTAAAACGTTTTTAAATTGGGTAATTAACAAATAAATGGCATTAAGTTTTTCTAAGTTAAGCCAAAATTTGTAGTCAGTAAGTAAGTTTCATTAAATTGGATATTTAAAACACACATGACAACAGCGCGTCGGTCATCATCACTCTTATCGAACCAGCAATCGATCGCCAACGGTAACAGTGGTTAGTATGTTGTTTCGTTTTTGTTCGCCTACGTCGCCGTCTTGATTTAGAATGTTCTCTAATCAAGAGTTCGCCGACATGTTGTTATTCATATCTTGCAGCTCAAATGTATCGCGACAGATTTCGTCAACGGGTACACCCAGACAGAAGGACATTTGTGCAAGTGTACCAAAGACTTCGAGATACAGGAAGTGTTCAGCCCACTAATATTCGCACTCGTGAAAGACAGGTTACTGTAGAGCAGGAGGAACAAATTTTAAATATCGTGGAAATCAATGCAGATATCAGCACTCGGGAATTAGGCCGCCGCGTAGGACTATCGCATACCGTTTTCCATAGAATCCTACGGGAAAATTTGCTTTATCCCTACCATGTACAACGAGTGCAGGCCTTGTTACCAGAAGGCTATCCTCGCAGACTAACATTCTGTATAAGCCACAATAGACCAAAGAGTCGATCGTTATCACATTATGACAAGAAACCTAACCGTACGAATTTTGCGTCGCTGAAACCGGCTCTGCGGATGCCTAATATCACCGGACTGAAAAGGATGATGAAAATGTCCCAAGAAGCGAGACCATGCACTATACAGGATCCACTAAAAACTAAGCCACACGCATCGCTAATTACAGCCTGACCCTGTATCGATATTTGAAAACGCAAGTTAATGGCACCTCTTTCATTTATCATTGATACCGTTAGCCACTAAGACTTGAGTGGGTCAGACAAGACACCACACTTCAGTGTTAAGAGTGGTACTGACCAGTAAACAAGTGAAGTGAAACCCGACAGCTCGGTTGGACGGACATCACGTCGATGCGATTTGCGATATAAACGGTGGTGCATAACACGGTGGTTTTTTGTTTTTTGTGATATATTTGCATTGATTTTTTGTGACTATGAAGTGCGTCAAGATATTGCTGTTCATTTCGATTTTTGGTATGTATAAATATTTCGGAAACCGTATAATTTGTTTTCAAATATTTGGAAAAAGAGTAGAATGAGGTTAATTTGTGTATACACTTGACTCTGAAAGATATATAATGTCCTCGAGCCAAAACAGAAGAAAGAATCGAAAACAAGAAACCTAGATTTCCGGGTATCGATATTACAAATGTACAATCAGATACGGCCCAAAGTACTACAGCAAACTTTTTGCCAACACAACTTATTAGCTAGCAAATTAAAAGACCCCCGCCGCGCTTCAAATGAATCTCATATTCCACATCAAATGCGCAAGGGTTTTTGAAAATGTTTTATGATACATCTTTTAATATAATTGGACTTCTTACATTCCTGACTGGCCCATTTTTGACACTTTTTGTAAACGGGTACTAAAGATGAAAGTGCTTCAAATAAGGTTCGAATGAATTCTGGATGTATAATGGCGTTAAGTAGGTTGACTCTGCACTGCCCATGCAACGCTGTTCCTAAATTATGTTCAGCACAAGAACCTCTGAGAAAAAAGTCATAGATACCTTGTTTTATAAAGTATCCTCCCGACAAGTATTTCAGTGCGGACCTGTATTTGATCGTGAGGTCTTGGAGCACCGGCATGCCGTCCCCTGTGAGGTCTTAAGTCACCTGATTCACGAGCCCGTTGTACTACATTAACAAAGGCACGAGGGGTTCGTTGCACTCGATTGGGAAACCGATCCGCATAAACATGTGCCATTTTTTATTTCGTTTGAGCCACGCAGCTAACACCACTATTCACTCACGCGTTACCGACTGACACATTGACTGGATAAAAACATCGTGATCAGCGTTTCAAATTCTTTCGCTTTTTTGTTTCCGATGCGATGAACCGATGAGGCGGATTATATCCGTTGTTGCCAAACACGAGCACATAATATTATTATTGAGACAGGGCGGTACTCAAACTTCTAAAGAGCTATAACTTTGTTACTTTAATTTTACCACAAAAATGTTAAAGGAAAAAAACATTTCTTTTGATCAGATCTACTCACTGTTAAAATAAATGACTCAACTTCGAAGTCTCGGAAATGACACATTTCTGCTTTTAGGACCCAAAAAAAAATCAAAAGCATGGGTGAACTCACATTCCCGACCGTTTTGTAACGTAATACTCACTGAAAATTAAAATGCAGTTCAAATGGTCCCGTTTACCAAGTATATTCTATAAAATAAAAATGAGGCAATTCCACTGAAAGTGAACTTCATTCATTGTGCATGACTAACTGTACAACAGAAATATATACTATCATAGTCAGTGAAAGTCATCTCACTGTAAGGTAAAGACTTTGTTGTGACGAACTGTATACAAATATGCTCGAAATGTGCGGAATTAGGTTAATTATGATTATTTATATGGAGGCGTTATCATTTCTATCGCATTTAACGTGGATTCGACTGTGTAAAAAGTAATTCGCAAACTGAAAATCTTTTGTTCATAAAATAATCAGTGCATAAAGACTCGGTATTGTCTTAAACCAATTAACATTACCGTACCAACTAATTACCAAATTGCTCGATATTGATTCGATCGACTTGGTGTGTTTCTTTTACTGGTCCGGTAAGTATCGTCGTCATTCAGTAGCAATACTTGCATAAATCATATTTTTTGCTGAAGGAACAATAACACACGGTGACAAAATTTTCACCCAGAAACCAAAGTATTACAAATATTTCCCGGAGATTTTGTTGGCTGGTGTTTCCAAGATATCCTAGTCTAAAGGTGCCAAAATAGCGATTTTTGTATACAGCGACAACCAAATTTGTCTGACTGCTTGAGTTCAATGCGTACGAGAGAGAAGTGTGTCTAGACACATATGTTAGACAGAGATAGAAGCCGGCTGAAGAGCGAAGGTCAATACCGCATTTCCTAGCGACGGTAACGCAGAATACAATAGATTAGGTGACTGTCAAACCGAAGGAGGTGGTTTGTTTGAACATCCTGAGTTAGTGCTACATTTTGCGACAGCATATAGTAAATGATGAAAACAATTTCGAAGAAGGACGATACTCTCCAATAAGCGCTAAATCCGTACTGACCAAAATCGCCCATCTATCATCATCATGCAGGTGGAAACCTTGCCTTGGAATGTACAAGATGCGGTGTTGCCAAGCGAACCAATGATGCAATATTGCATAATGTGTGGCTTTCGTGACCATTCATTTCAAACACCGTTAGGACCGATCCGGAATCGATACTAAACAGATTCGACACAATTCACAATTCAAAAATGTGTACGCTCAAAATAAAACCATCATTTATTCGTAGATAATAAACGGACGCATATTTTCAACATGCATCTTAATTCAAGGAATTGGTGAAACGTATTGGCAATGCGGCACCTGGCCGCCTCAGCGTTGCTAGGCAACGCGGTATCCAGCCGGCTTCTATCTCTTTCTAACATATGTGTATATACACACTTCTCTCTTGTACACATTGAACTCAAGCCGTCAGGCAAATTTGGTTCTCAGTGTAGATTTGTCGTTAAGCAACAGGCAAACTCATAAAGCTATATTACTAGTAGCCTCTTAAAGGTTCTTTTCTATATGTCCGGTACGGTATCCAGTATGTATCAATCACAATGTCTTATTCTATTCAAATTTGAATCCATGAGACCCGTACTATTAGGACTAAATAAGCACAGTGATTGAGTGTTAATAAATTAATATCAAGTTAGGCAAAATGCGAGATATTCTTACAACATACGTCTGATGACTCCTCATATTAAATTAAACACCTGTCATTCGGCTTACATAACTTTGATCAGTTTCCACCTATAAATGATAAAATGGAACGCACAATATGCAAAGATGCAAGTTATTTCTATCAAAAGCTGTTGTAATGAGCGTAAAAAGTTTGTTCGGTTTACGTCACTGTTTTCAATGAAAGAACACTTTCACGATAATATAGTCTGTAATAGAAGAGACTATATAATGGAATCTAATTCAAAGTTGTTTTAAAATCTGGAGCACTGCAATGTGGTTAATAATAATTTGCATGCAAAACCTATACTGACTTCTGTATTTTGCATTACTCGTCGTCTACCAAATGAAACCACAGAGCTTACTGACATTTCGGCCACATCGGCGAAAGTTTGTACAAAATGTTTTGTTGTGAATACAGAATATAGACAGATCTATAGGTTTTAGTTTTTCCTGGAAAATGCATACCCAGGTTCCAAGATGACTAACAAAATTCATAGACATTAGATATTAAAGGTGGGTTGGATTTTGACTTGACATGGACAGCTGTTTTGTGCTTTTTGGCAACTCACTCATCAGATTTATCTAGACTTGGTCTCTGCGACAACAAACGAAAGCTTAGCATCCAGCCTCAATCATCTGTCTACTATAACGCCAGAATTGTCGGCCTCTTGCGGTCACAGTGATGACTGGGCTATCAAACGCGAACTGAGATCTTTACAGTTCCAGCCGACAATATCGTAGAGATCTATTCTGGTAATAGATGGCGCTTTACGCTGTCTTATTTTGATTAAAGCCGAAATGATAGTATTATTAAGATGCTTAATGAACTAGTCTATGACTGTTGCTCATATTTCTCAATAGTTAGGAGCATAAGTGAGCAACCATGTAAATTTTTACCTGTTAGTAATTACTCAATGACAATAGAAACCAACCCGATCGAACTTATAATTTATGCCCAACCTCTCCATATACTTGGAAGGAAAAAAGAATGTAGCGTTTCTGTATGCACGAGCACGGACTTTCAATAACAATACCGTCTACGTACATAAAAAGTTGATTCAGGTTTATGTCACGGATTTAAATACAGGTACTGAATTACACTTTCACGATAACACAAAGAATACGTAACAGAAGTTATTTTTTCCAAAATACCCTAAGCATCAGTTACCAATTAAGATGAGTTTCGCAGGGTATTGAGGTTAGGAAATTTCGATCTGACAATTCTCGTTTGACCCAACTAAATCGCTTAATCTCATTCGTAAGGCTCTATAATAAATTAGGTAACTGCTTACATATTTTACGAATAACTTCTATTTTTATAAATTCGAGAAAAAGTTTATAAAATTTTTTAGAACTTTTCGCAGGGTAACGAAAATTTCGCAAACTTCAAAATCCCCTGTATATCAACGCTTTCTTGGGTTATTTTCAGATACACTTCAAATTCATGAATTTTCACTCGAAAAATCGACAAAAACTGTGAATACCGCATTTTCACCGATTTTTTCCAATGTTTGACATTTTAAACGTAGGATACCATAAGCTGGCTAATTTAAAATTTCGACAAGCATAGGTATTTTTGTGCATCATTTTAGGTTCCATAGTCAACATTTTCATTTGTCTCCTGAAAAAATGCGAAAATAGGAAAAACCGCAATTCTCGCTGACTCACAGTTTGACGTTTTTTGTTAGGAGCGGAATACTCTGCTAACACAGTAACTTCCTGTATATAGGTACTTTTTACGCTCTTGTCAATTCCGTTGTCAGAACCATGATTTCCGCAAAATCGGCAAAAATCGGAAAACCACCGATATTTCCAATTTTAGACATTTTTAGAGTATGACATTATAACCTCACCAACTCAAAAACTCAATCCACACATATGTGTATAGTATATTTTTGGGTTAGTCAAACATTTCTCCATTGACCTAAAATATCAGAAATTGAAGAAAATCAGCGAAAATACGTTTTCTCCTTTTTTCACAATTTTCCGGACCACGAATTACAATTTTGACAATGGAACCTGAAGGAATGGACAAAAGTACAAATGCGCATGGGGTTTTTTGAGTCAGATAAATTATATTATCCTACTCTAAAAACGTTAAAAAATCGAGAAAAACTTCTAAAAATGCGGTATTTCGGCATTCTGACGATTTTTCTTAGAAGAAATCATTATTTTGACAACGGCACTGAAAAGAACTTAAAAAGCACATCGATATCGTGGATGACTATATTAGCGAAGTATTTCTTTCCTAGCCAAAA